TACTTCTTCATATATATATATATATATATATATATATATATATATGTACACTGAGTGGCCAGATTATTATGACCACCTGACGTTTGTAGGCAAATTAGCTATAATTTTTGCGCTGAAGTTGCTAGAGGGCCAGACCATTATAAATAGGGAAGCAGGTTGTTTACCACGACAGTAGAAGTGATTTTTTTCTGAAGATATGGTTAAACAACGTGATTTAACAGCCTTTGAACGTGGGATATATATATATATGTGTATATATATATATATATATATATACACACACACACACACACACACACACACACACACACACACACTGAGTGGCCAGATTATTATGACCACCTGACGTTTGTAGGAAAATTAGCCGTACACTGCATCGTATGGGATGTGGAAGCCGAAGGCCTGTTCGAACACCTTTGCTGTCTGCAGTTACCAAGATAAAACGTCTCCAATTCGCACAGGAACACAAGGATTGGACAGTCGAGCATTGGAAAAAAGTCATGTGGTCCGATGAATCACATTTCCAGTTGCATCATGCTGATGGCAGAGTGAGAATTTGGCGGAAACAGCATGAAAGCATGCACCCCACATGCATGAGTACAACCCTTCAAGCTGGTGGGGGCAGTGTTATGGTTTGGGGCATGTTTTCCTGGCATGATTTGGGCCCTTTAATTCGTGTGGAACAACGTCTGAATATCACAACATACCTAAGTATCGTTGCTGATCAGGTTCATCCTATCATGTTGATGGCGTATCCCAGTGGAGATGGCTTCTTCCAACAAGATAATGCGCCATGCCATGGTGCTCGTATTGTGCAGGAGTGGTTTCAAGAACATGAGGGTGACTTTACCTTGCTTAGGTGGCCCCCACAATCACCAGATCTCAATCCGATTGAGCATTTGTGGGATGAAGTTAAAAGAGCCATCAGGCAGCTGGTTCCACAACCATCAAATCTCACAGAACTGGACAGTGCTATTCGTCAAGCATGGCGTCAGATTCCTCGCATCACCTTTCAACATCTCATGGAGTCAATGCCAAGAAGAATCGCTGCAGTATTGAAGGCAAAAGGTGGCTCAACGAAGTACTGATGGGGTGGTCATAATAATCTGGCCACTCACGTTCAAATATATCCCACGTTCAAAGGCTGTTAAATTGCGTTGTTTACCCATATCTTCAGAAAAAAATCACTTCTTCTGTTGTGGTAAACAACCTGCTTCCCTATTTATAATGGTCTGGCCCTCTAGCAACTTCAGTGTGAAATTATAGCTAATTTGCCTAAACGTCAAGTGGTCATAATAATCTGGCCACTCAGTGTGTGTATAAAATTGATTTCAGAGAGGAAGGGAGAGGGAGAGAGGGATAGGAACATCAATGATGAGAGTGAATCACTGAGCTGCCTCCTGCACGCCCCATACTGGGGATTGAGCCCGCAACCTGGGCATGTGCCCTAACTGGGAATCGAACCATGACCTCCAGGTTCATTGGTCAATGCTCAACCACTGAGCCACACCAGCCGGGCAGATTTTACTCCTTAATAGTGATAATGGCAGCCACAAATGGTGTATGTTCAGTGTGCCAATAGAAAATAATTATCAATCTAGCATTGTATACCCAATGAAACTATCTGCCAAGAGCTAGGGCAGCCCTGGCTGGGGAGCTCAGTTAGTTAGAGCATTGTCCCATATGCCTGGGTTGCTGGTGCATCCCCAGTCGGTGCACATACATGAAGCAACCAATGAATGTATAAATAAGTGGGACAACAAATAGATGTCTCTCTCTTCCTCTAAAACCAATAAAGGAGGGGAAAAAAGAACTTAAATCAATAGTTGAGAATATCCCTACAAGAAAAACAGCATAAGCAAATGGATTTACAAGTAAGGACAATAAAACATTCAAGAAACAGATAATTCCAATGTTGCACAATTTCTTCCTCAATATATTAAGTGTGGGAAAACTCCTTAATTTATTTGATGAAGTTAGCATAATTTGAACACCAGACTTGGACAAGACAATACATAAACAAGGAAAATCATAGACCCATATAATTTATAACTGAGATGCAAAAATTATAAATAAAATGTTAATTAAAATATTAATAAAATGCCACAATCTAAAAAATACCACGAACAAGCTGGGTTTATCTCAGGAATAGAAATAAAATTTATTAGTAAATTAGAAAAGAGCCCTGGCTGGTTGGGCTCAGTGGATAGAGTGTCAGCCTGCGGACTGAAGGGTCCCCGGTTTGATTCTGGTCAAGGGCACATGCCTGGGTTGTGGCTCAGTCCCCAGTGGGGGGTGTGCAGGAGGCAGACAACCAATGATTCTCTCTCATCATTGATGTTTCAGTCTCTCTCCCTCTCCCTTCCTCTCTGAAATCAATAAAAATATATATTTTAAAAAAAGAAAAGAAAATTTATGTCATTAGGCATTTTAAATTGAGACAAATTATACGGCTATCTCAATAGATACAGAAAAGCGTACCAGGTATACAGCATAAGGAGTCAAGGACAGGAGCTGGAACAGTGAGGAGGCGACTGCAATGATCCAGGCAGGAGCTGGTGGAGCCTGGGCCAGGGTGAGGGCTAGCTGTGGAGGAGGCGATGAGAAGCGGTTGATGCTAGATTTTGAAAGCAAGGCAGCCAGGATTTGCTGATAAATCAGAGGTAGGGAGTGAGAGGCAGTGAGAGCTCAAGGATCGTCCCTGTTTATATCAGAGCTCCTGGAAGGTTTGATCTGCTATTGCTTGAGAAGGGGAAGGTGGAAGGGGGTAGGCCAGCTTGGACTGGGCGACAATCAGGAGCCCTGCTTTGTTTGTTTATCTGTTTATTAATTACTAGGGCCCGATGCATGAAATTCGTGTCAGAGTAGGCCTTCCTTCCCCCGGCTGCCGGCACTGCAGCCAGCTGGTTGGTGGCCTGGGCCTCCCTCTGTGGGGCAATCATGGGCGATGGCTGGGGCCTCCAACCAATCACAATGCATTCACCTGGCCGGCCTGGCATTAGTGGGTGTCATAGCGTGGTCCCAGATGATCTTCCGATGGTCGTTCTGCTGTTGGGCTGTTTGGTCAATTTGCATATTATGCTTTTATTATATAGGATTATTTTTAGGAGCCCTGCTTTGGACAGGTAGAGTTTGGATGCCTATAGACACCCAATGGAGATGTCAAGGAGACATCCGTTAAGAGGACGTGCGAGTTCAGGTGATAGGAATAAAAATTGGGGCATTGTCAGTGCATAGAGGTTTTAAAAAGCATGTGAGTTACAGGCCATGCAACATAGAGTGTTGGGGTGAAGGGCTCTACATTTGGGGAGTTAGGAGCAACAGACTGAAAATACGGAAAATCAGAGGAGTGTTGCAGACAATGGCAAAAGCAAAGTGGGCCTCTTGGGTGGGTGTTTCCCAGATGTGGCCTCAGTGAGGACTCTTTGCCACCTGAGGAACTAGCATCATTAGCCAAGGCTGCTAGCAGTGGTTCTCAACCTTGGCTGCACATTAGAATCACCTGGAAATCTTTTTAAAATCCTGATTTCTGGGCCCCGTCCTCTGGAAATTCTGTTTCTTTGTTATGGGGTGAGGCCACATTAGTAACAAAGAAAGAGAATTTCTGGAGGACGAGGCCCAGAAATCAGGATTTTAAAAAGATTCCCAGGTGATTCTAATGTGCAGCCACGGTTGAGAACCACTGTGCTGGAGGATTGGATTCTTGCTCAGGTCAGCCCGGTCAGGCCAGTGATCTTGCAAAAGGGAATCTGGTGTAATTACGCCCTCTGCTGGCCAGGACAGATATCAGCCCCATTTCCAAAAACAATAACGGTCATTATTATATGCAGTGTTTTATATTTTTTAAAATATATTTTTATTGTTTTTTTTTTTCAGAGAGAGAGGAAGGGAGAGGGAGACAGAAATAGAAACATCGATCTGTTGCCTCCTGCACATCCCCGCACCCCCCACTGGGGATCGAGGTCCAAACCTGGGCATGTGCCCTGATTGGGAGTTGAACCAGTGACCTCCTGGTGCATGGGTTGACGCTCAACCACTGAGCACACCAGCCAGGCTACAGTATTTTATATGCTACTAGAAATCATGCACAGCTGGGGTCCTTCAGGGTGGCCTGTGGGGATTGGGCCCCAGCTCGGCCTGGAGCCTTGCAGCCCCACCTGGCATTGGGATTCGGGAGTGACCTGGCGCTGCCCTCTCACCTGCTCCACCATCCCGCCTCAGGGCTTGGGAGCAGGGCAGGAACCCGCCCCTGCCCTCGCTGTCACCGCTGCCGGTGGCCTCTGCAGGGCGATCTGGGTCTCCACTGGCACCCGCCGTGGCCTCGTGCCATCTGCTCCACCATCCTGCTGCGGTCCCGCTCCACTGCCTCCTGCTGCCAGCGCCCCGATGCCCACCATGCTCTGCGCCGCCCCCTGGTGGTCAGCGCACATCATAGTGAGTGGCTGAATTCCCGGTGGAACAATTTGTATATTAGGCTTTTATTATATAGGATTATTATTAGAACACAGCCAGTGCTTAATAAATCCGTGACCCAGCCTCTTTCATCCCTGTGCAGCATGGAGGCTGGCAGTATGGGGATGTATATGTAGGTGTACATCGAATGAATGAATGAATGAATGAATGAATGATGTGTCAGATTCTGCATCTCAGGCTCCCCTTCTGTAAATCCGGGATTCCCTCTTTCATTGAATAAACCAGTGACGGCGAACCTATAACATTCGTGTCAGAGGTGACACGCGAACTCATTTTTTTTGGTTGATTTTTTCTTTGTTAAATGGCATTTAAATATATAAAATAAATATCAAAAATATAAATCTTTGTTTTACTATGGTTGCAAATATCAAAAAATTTCTATATGTGACACGGCACCAGAGTTAAGTTAGGGTTTTTCAAAATGCTGACACGCCGAGCTCAAAAGGTTCGCCATCACTGGAATAAACTAACGTTGATTTTATTGATTGAGAGAGTGAAACATTGATGCTCGATTGCCTCCCCCGGGGATTGAACCCGCAACCTAGGTATGTGCCCTGACCGAGACTGGAACCCGCAACCTTTTGGTGGAAGGGAGGACGCTCCAACCAACTGACCAACCGGCCAGGGCACAAGACAGCAAAGCGCTGCTGTTGGAGCGAACCTCACGCCCCGAGAGGACCGGTGGGCCGGGTGTCCGTTGCCATGGTCCCCTTGACGCTCTCCCAGGGCTTCCGCGAGCCTTACGCCTCACGTGACGCGGCCCAATATGGCGCGGCCCAGGGTGTTTCACTGTCCACGTGGTTCTGGCAGGCAAGATGGCGGCGGCATCCAACGCGACCTCCTTGGAGTCAGCTCCGCGGATCTTGCGACTGGTGGCCGAGTGCAGCCGCTCCAGGGCCCGGGCAGGCGAGCTGCGGCTGCCGCACGGGCCGGTGGCCACCCCCGTCTTCATGCCCGTGGGCACGCAGGCCACCATGAAGGGCATCACTGCGGAGCAGCTGGACGCGCTGGGCTGCCGGATCTGCCTGGGCAACACCTACCATCTGGGTCTGAGGCCGGTGGGTGGGCTGTGCCAGTGCGTGGCGTTGGCGGAGCTTGGGGAGCCCTGGGGTACCCCCTGGGTACGGGTATGCCTCCAAAGTCAACCGACAAACGCCCATGAAGCGCCCCCGGAGGCCCAGGCCTGGTGCTGAGCTTGCGGGAGCGGCGGGGACCCAATTAGACCATCCCGCCCCTCCCCCGCCCCTCCCCCGCCCCCCGTGAGCTCCCAGCGTGGCGCTCACCGCTTACCGGACTCTTCGCCCCCGCACCCCGCAACCCAGGGCCCGGAGCTGATCCAGAAAGCCCAAGGTCTGCACGGCTTCATGAACTGGCCCCACAATCTGCTGACGGTGAGGCGGGGTCGGGGCGGGGGCGGGGGGTGCGAGGACGCTCCTGGGGGCGGATCTCGGCCTGCACCTCTCCCGACTGACTGCCCCGCGGCGGGTGTCCCCCAGGACAGCGGCGGCTTCCAGATGGTGTCCCTGGTGTCCCTGTCCGAGGTGACGGAGGAGGGCGTCCGCTTCCGCTCCCCCTACGACGGCGACGAGACCCTCCTGAGCCCGGAGAGGTCCGTGGAGATCCAGAACGCGCTGGGTGAGCGGATCGCGGGAGCGGCCCCGCCCCCGCCTTTGCAGGGTAGCGGCGCGGTCCCTGTAGGTTGTGTGCCTTTGGGCAAGTCACCCCCCCTTCCCTGAGCTGCAGTTGGGCCAACTCTACTGCAGATAGTTCACAAGATTCATGGTGGGGTGTCGGCAAATCTCTCTGCACAGCGCCTGCCATGTAGCTGCTTTTATGGCTCTTATTGCTGTTATTACTCTTAAACTGTAAATTAATTGGGCAAAGATGTGTTGAAATCATGGGGGCAACAACAGAGGGTTGGGGAGGCTTTAGGCTCCCACCGTCTACATCAATATCCCCCATTCCTTGGTGAGGACAATGAGCATTTTCTCCATTGTGTAAAGTTCTACGGAAACACGGGTGCAAACCTTCCCATCTTCCAACCAAATGGCGCTTTCAAGTCCCTTCAGGTAACAGGTCCTTTAGCTCCTACGCATAGTCACAGGGCTGGTGTCACCTCATCCATGGAACTTAGTCAACAGGGAGACAGGCGCTAGTGAGAATGTCATAATCAGGGGGGAAAACTGCAGGTGGAATGTATTGTATAAAAAAACAAAACACATCTTTCCCCTTAAATCCTTACCTGAGGATTTGTTTTTATTGACTTTTAGAGAGGGAGGTAGAGAGAGAGAAACATCTGTTTGAGAGAAACATCGAGGGGTTACCCCTCTGAAGTGCCCCCATTGGGGATCAAACCCCCAACCTTTTGGTGTACAGGAGGACACTCCAACCAACTGAGCCAGGGCTCTGTTTTACTTTATCTATCTATAAAAGCTTAAGCTCACCTGTTGGACCGGTAGCTATGATGTGCAATGACCACCAGGGGGCAGAGGCTCTGACCAGTAGCTGTGACATGCACTGACCACCATGGGGCAGAGTCTCAACGCAAGAGCTGCCTAGCGACAGCAACTTTGCAGGGTGTCCTCTTGCACTCTGGGGCCCCTTGGGGGATGTAGAACTGCTGGTTCTGACCTGATCCCTGCAGGCCAGGCCAAGGGGTCCCACCTGCCGGAGGGACCCCACCTGCCGGAGGGACCCCGCTCACTCCTCAGACATCCTTTGAGCCCTGGCGCTGACCGGTGGGGAGGGACCACAGGAGGTTGGTTCCAGGTTGTGTCCTGCCCGTCTTGCCCAGTCCCGCCCCACCAGCCACCTTCTAATTAATTTCCTTTCAATGTGCATGAATCCATGCACCACGCCTCTAGTGTAAATATAAATTTGGGACTGTGACCATGGAGGCCAAGTACATGGCCTCAGTCTGTGGGCTCAAGGAGGGCTGCCCTAGGCCTAAAACCTGTGGATGAGAAGAAATAAACTAGATGTCCAAAGGATGCAACCAGTGCAAAGGACCTGAGGCAGGACTAAGGTTGGCATGTTGGAAGAACTGTAAGGAGATGTGTCTGGCTGGAGCATGGAAGGGGAGAGTGGGAGGTGGGGACAGGGAGGTGACTTGAGCAGGTCCTGCAGGGCCTCCTGAGTTTTGATTTGTTCTTTAAAGAAAAAAAAAATTGAACAAGAATACATTTTGGCTTTAGCTGGTTTGGCTCAGTGGATAGAGCATTGGACTGTGGACTGGAAGGTCCCAGGTTCAATTCCAGTCAAGGGCACATGCTTGTGTTGCAGGCTAGATCCCCAGTAGGGGGCATGCAGGAGGCAACCGGTCAATGATTCTCTCTCATCATTGATGATTCTCTCCCTTCCTCTCTGGAATCAGTGTGTGTGTGTGTGTGTATCTATATCTATCTATATATCTATATCTATATCTATATCTATATCTATATCTATATCTATATCTATATCTATATCTATATCCATATCTATCTATATCTATATCTATATCTATATCTATATATATCTTGTATACATTTCTATATAGAAATGTGTACAGAAAACAGTGCTCTTCCCACACCTGTCCTCTATCCATCTCCTTTACTCCCACAGGTTACCACTGTTTCTAGTTTCTTGACTATTCTTCCCGCGTTTATGCAGATACAAGCAAGTTCAAATCTCTTCTAATTTTTTCTCATTATGAGAGCATGCTCTTTATGGTACATTCTTTCTGTACCTTGCATTAAAACTTTTTTAGCCTGGCCAGTGTAGCCCAGTGGTTGAGCATCGACCCATGAACCAGGAGGTTACGGTTAGATTCTCAGTCAGGGCATATGCCCTGGTTTTGGGCTCAATCCCCAGGAGAGGTTGTGTTGGAGGCAGCCAGTCAATGATTCTCTCTCATCATTGATGTTTCTGTCTCTTTCCCTCTCCCTTTCTCTCTTTGAAATCCAAAAAACAAACAAACAAAAATATACAAACCTAGCTGGTTCGGTTCCGTGGATAGAGCGTCAGCCTGTGGACTGAAGGGTCCCAGGTTTGATGCTGGTCAAGGGCATGTATCTTGGTTGCAGGCTCCTCCCCAGCCCGGGCCCTGACCGGGGCTCGTGCAGGAGGCAACCAGTCAGTGGTTCTATCACATCAACGTTTCTGTCTTTCCCTCTGCCTTCCACTTTTCCTAAAAGTCAATGAGAAAATATCCTCGGGCGAGGATTAACAAAAAACCAAAAAGAAAACATTAACATTTTTTAAAAAATGTATTTTATTTTAAAATTTCATTTATTGATTTGAGAGAGAAAGAGAGACAGAAAGAAACACATCAATTTGTTGTTCCACTTATTTATGCATTCACTGGTTGATTCTTGTGTGTGTCCTAACCAGGATGGAACCTGCAACCTAGGTGTATCCGGGCAACGCTCTATCCAACTGAGCTTCTCCGCTAGGACTCTTGTACTTAAAAAGGAAATTATGCAAACTTTTAAGTATATGCCAAATCAGATACAACACCATCCACCTGTCACCCAGTTTCAGCAATCATCACGTCATGGCCATTATGTTAAATATTTCATAAAATTCTGCTGTAAAGCCTCCTGAGCTTGGAGGGTTTTTTTGTTTGTTTGTTTTTGTGGGTTTTTCACAATGAATTCAATTTACCATGTTGATAGGGCTATTCAGATTTTGTGTTTTGTCTTGGATCAGATTTGATAAGTTGGATTTTTCAAGGAATTTGGCCATTTCTTGAACTTTATTTCAACTTCCTTGGCATAAAGTTAATCATAATATTCTCTTATCCTCTTTTTTAAAAAAATATTTTTAGTGATTTCAGAGAGGAAGGGAGAGAGAGAGATAGAAACATCAATGATGAGAGAGAATCATTGATCGGCTGCCTGCATGCCCCACACTGGGGATCGAGCCCGCAACCTGGGCAAGTGCCCTTGACTGGAATCGAATCCAGGACCCTTCAGTCCGCCGGCTGATGCTGTAGCCACTGAGCCAAACCGGCTAGGGCAGGAAACTGGTTTCTTTGCCTTGTGGTGTTGCCCTGGTCTCTTCCCTGTGGTGTAGAGTAACAGTTTTTTTCTGTCACCTACATTTTCTGTAGGTGGGTACTTGGATCTAGAGATTGGAACAATTCAAATTGTTCCTTTTAGCAAGACAGTTTCACCATGTGTATTTCTGTTAGGAGGTGCCTGATGTCTTCCCTTCTCTCCCATGAACCATCTGTGCTTCTTGCTTGGGTCTGTTACGTCATTAGGAGTTGCAAAATGGTGATGTTCTAATTCTGTCATTCATTCTAATTTACTATCCAGATTACTTGCGTAAAGAGAACCATCTCTAATCTATTCCTGGGAGACCAAGTAGTTCAGTTGATGTAGGAAACTTGGGATTCATTCTTTTTCCTTATTTACCAGTTTTCATCGGTTGATTACTTAGCATCCTCTAGTAGGGGCAAATCAATGTTTAGATTTTTAGAATCACCATGAACTCATGGGTTTAAATGTATTTGATGTATCTCAATCCATTGCAATTGGATCAATCCTTATTGATTGCCCATCTTTGGCTAGTGTAGTATACGGTGCTTTTTACTATAATAATACCTGAGACTTGAGCTTTTCTAACATGTAATATAGAAGTCAAGAGTCCCTAATCGGAAATTCTTGGGGCCAAGAATTTTCACATTTTAGAAAGATAAGAAGCCCCATGTATTTTATTTACTGATTGATTTTTTTTAGAGAGAGAGGAAGGGAGAGAGAGAAAAATAATGATTTGTTGTTCTACTCGTTGCTGCATTCATTGATTGATTCTTGTATGTGCTCTAACTGGGGATGGAACCCAAAACCTTGGCGCAAGGGGATGATACTCTAACCAACGGAGCTATCAGGCCAGGGCCAGAAAGCCCCATTTATTGCACACACAGCATCTCAGTGGGGTCTGGGCAGTACCTTGTGGAGTTACACTTCAATTTTTTTTTTAAATTAAAACAAATTACTACTATTTCTTTTCATACAAGGAATTTTATCTATTGTGCAAAGAGAGGGTTATCTGCCTCCCCAGAGGGTTCTAGGCTCCATTTAAACTCTGTTTCTAGCTCTAATTCTTAGAGATTAAGGGATTCAAAGGCCTGTGATCATGGGCACTGATGAGGACTACAAAACATTTGGCTCCAGTTAAATCCCTGGTGTTTGAGGTCTGTGGGAGCTGTGGGTGCTTGCTTCTTGGTCCTGTCACAGCCGTTGAAGTAGCTGGTTTAGGAGAAAAAGGCTGCTGTCTCTGCAAGGCAGGGGCAAGGGTGGGGGACAATTCCCTTTCTACCCCAACACTGCCTCTCGGCCTGATCCTGCTTGTTCCCATTTGGGATCGGCAGCATTCTCTGTAGTCTTTTCTGACCTTGGTACTGAGGGGCAGGTACTTGAAACAACTTCGGGATCAAGTCTTTCTCTGTGAGCGAGAGAAAGGCAGGGCTTGTTCGTTGGTGTCTCCCAGCATCCCGCCGTCGATGACCTTCAGTGTACCCCTCATCTCACCCACATGCGCCCTTGATGCCTGTGCGTTAGCGTCACACTAGTCCTGTAAGCACGTTCCACAATAGGTGGATGCAGGCCCGGGGCCAACGCCCAGGCGGCCACGGGAGGTGGCTGCAGCGAACACACAGCTGCCTGTTCCTTGCTTCGCCCAGCCTCCACGAGGCTGGAACGCCCATCGTAAAGTGTCCAGTTCTATGGCGTTAAGTAGCTTCACATTGTTGTGCAAACATCCACACCATCCAACTCCAGAATTCTTTTCCTTTTTTTTTTTTAATAATTTTATTGATTTCAGAGAGGAAGGGAGAGGGAGAGAGAGATAGAAACATCAATGATGAGAGAGAATCACTGATCAGCTGCCTCCTATACACCCCACACTGGGGATCGAGCCTGCAACCTGGGCATGTGCTCTTGACCGGAATCGAACTTGGGACCCTTCAGTCCGCAGGCCGACGCTCTAGCCACTGAGCTAAACCAGCTAGGGCTCCAGAATTCCTTTCATCGTGCAAAACCAAGACTCTGTCCCTATTAAACAATAACTTCACATTCTTCTCTCTTCCTGCCTCTGGCGCCACTCTGAGAATTGACTACTCTAGAGATCGAATATAGTGAACTCATACAGTGTTTGTCTTTTTGTGACTGGCTTATTTCGCTTAGCATGATATCCTCAAGGTTCATCCATGTTGTTGTAGGAAGTGTCGGAATTTCCTTTCCAAGGCTTATTAATATTCCATTGTATGTCTATGTCACATTTTGTTTATCTGTTCATCTGTCGATGGACACTTGGGTTGCTTCCACCTTTTAGCTTTTGTGAATAATGCTATGAATATGGCTGCCCAACTATGTCTTCAAGACCCTGCTTTTATTTCTTTTTTTTATTTTTTATTTTTTTTATATTTTATTGATTTCTTACAGAGAGGAAGGGAGAGAGATAGAGAGTTAGAAACATCGATGAGAGAGAAACATCGATCAGCTGCCTCCTGCACATCTCCTACTGGGGATGTGCCCGCAACCCAAGTACATGCCCTTGACCGGAATCGAACCTGGGACCTTTCAGTCTGCAGGCCGATGCTCTATCCACTGAGCCAAACTGGTTTTGGCAAGACCCTGCTTTTAATTCTTGTGAGCATATATCCAGAAGTGCAATTACTAGACCATAGGGTATACACTTCAGTTTTATTGGATTAACACTTTAAGAATCCTTATTCTAGCCGAAACCGGTTTGGCTCAGTGGATAGAGCGTCAGCCTGCGGACTGAGAGGTCCCGGGTTCGATTCCGGTCAAGGGCATGTACCTGGGTCGCGGGCACATCCCCGGTGAGGGATGTGCAGGAGGCGGCTGATCGATGTTTCTCTCTCATCGATGTTTCTAGCTCTCTCTGTCTCTCTCCCTTCCTCTCTGTGAAAAATCAATAAAATATATTAAAAAAAAAAAGAAAAAAAAAAAAAAAAAAAGAATCCTTATTCTACATTGGATTTTTGAAAGGATTATAACCATCTTGGGTTTTGCTACCAAATGAGTGTATCATAAACATAAGAAAAAGCCTTTGATTTTGAGAGTGTCTGGATTTTGAATGGTGGGGAAGGTATGTGGGAGCGGTGGGTGCTTGCCCTTTAAGGGCTGGACCATGGTTTATTAACGAGGTTCCTACTGATGGACACGGGTTCCCATCTTGCTGTTGTTGCCATACATCACTTTGCACAGTGTTTTGTTCTTTTTTTTTTTTAATATATTTTATTGATTTTTTACAGAGAGGAAGGGAGAGGGATAGAGTTAGAAATATCAATGAGAGAGAAACATCGATCAGCTGCCTCCTGCACACTCCCTACTGGGGATGTGCCCGCAACCCAGGTACATGCCCTTGACTGGAATCGAACCTGGGACCTTTCAGTCTGCAGGCCGGTGCTCTATCCACTGAGCCAAACTGGTTAGGGCAGTGTTTTGTTCTTGAAGGGTAAATTTGCAGAATTGGGATTTTACTCTATATTCCAGGGAAGGGGTTAGCTGGGGAGGGCTGGGATTAGCTGGGGGAGGCAAGAACAGATAAGGCATGTTGGAAGCTCCCTCTATCTGCTGTATAAACAGGTTGGGGTATTAAGTGGGAGTCGCAAGACCCAAGGAGGGACTTTTGGTGTCCAGTTTTCCTCCAGCAGGTTGGGGCTTTCCTAGTGACAGTATTCCACCCTCCCCTCCCCCCAGGCTCAGACATCATCATGCAGCTAGATGACGTGGTCAGCAGCACTGTGACGGGGCCACGTGTGGAGGAGGCCATGTACAGGTGTGTGTGTGAGCACGGACACATTAGAGGAGGGGTTCCTGATCCTGAAGCCGTGGTCTCCCTGTCCTTCACCAGGCCACATGGCTGATTGATCCTGTTGCAGATCAGTCCGCTGGTTAGACCGGTGCATTGCAGCCCATCGGAGGCAAGACAAGCAGAATCTCTTTGCTATCATCCAGGGTGGTCTGGACGCGGATCTCCGAGCCGCTTGCCTCGAAGGTAGAGCCATGCTCAGTGGGACCGGGTTTGTCACATCGCTGAGGGCCCCACACGGGCCTGGCATGCTCAGGCAGTGGTGGCTAATGGGTGAGAGGGTTCTCCAGGCGGAAGGAACGGCTTAAGCAAAAGCTCAGAAGCAGAATGGAGTAGAATGTTTGTAGAATAATAGCAATTCCAATAGCCATCAATTTTTGGGTGTTCACCTTCCACTATGCCAAGTGCTGCTCATGGGTTGACCCACTGAGGATTTTTTGTTGTTAATCCTCACCTGAGGATGTTTTTTCTATTAAGGGAGGGGAGGGGAGAGAGAGAGGTATTGATGTGAGACTAGTTGTCTCCTGCATGCCCCAGACCAGGGCTGGGATCAAACCTGCAACCTTGGTACGTGCCCTTGACCGGGAATGGAACCTGCGACCCTTTGGTGTGGGGCCGGTGCTCTAACCACTTAGCAACACTGACTGGCCAGGGTGACCCATTGAGTTTTTCTTTTTTTTAAACATTTTTGATTTAAGAGAGCAAGGAAGAGGGAGAGAGAGAGATAGAACATAAATTATGATAGAATCATTGATCAGCTGCCTCCAGCACAGCCCCTACCGGCGATCAAGCCTGCAACCTGGGCATGTGCCCTGATAGGGAATCGCACTGTGACTTCCTGGTTTATGGGTCGAGGCTGGGCAACCCATTGACTTTTCATAACCATCCTATAAGGTGGGAACTACCTGAGGTTGCAGAAGGGAAAACTAAGGCAGAGAGCTCTTAAGTCACTTACCCAAAGCTAGACAGTTTGGATATTACGGACCTGGGGTTTGGACCAGGCCTTGAGCTCTAGAACCTACAGCATTCATTAATTGATTCACTGAGATGCTAGGAAGTCATGGAGGGATGTTGAGTGGGAGAGTGACAGGAACCAATGGGGAACCAAGGAAAACTGGTAGGAAGCAGCGGCCCATGAGGAAGCTGGAGTAGTTGCCTAGGGAAAGAGTGACTGAGGCCTAAAGCCGAGGCTGTGGCCAAAGAGATGAAGGGGAAGAAGAAATGGGGGCAGAGAGGAAGAGGGGGAGGAGGAAGAAGAGGAGGAGCAGCATTCCCTTTTGCCTGATTGCCCCTCACCTTACTCTGTACCCCTAGAGATGACCAAGAGGGACGTGCCTGGCTTTGCCATCGGGGGACTGAGTGGGGGTGAGAGCAAGGACCAGTTCTGGAGGATGGTGGCACTGAGCACTTCAAGGCTGCCTAAGGACAAGCCCCGATACCTGATGGGGGTTGGGTATGTCCAAAAGCAGGGAAACAGCTGTACGCGTGGGATTGCGGATTTCTGGTGGCCCTCTAACCCCTCCTCCCCCCGTGTGTTAGGGGAAAGGACACAGCCCTGCCTGGGAGGGGACTAAGGACATGGCCCTCTGCTGGGGACTGTTGTGAAGGTCCCAGTCTAGGAGGAGTCTGAGGGTCCGGAAGGGGGTCTGGTTGTATGACCAGGGCTTGAGAGATTCTCTGCTCCCCTCCGCCCACCGTGGCCCCACCCCCAGCTATGCCACTGATCTGGTGGTCTGCGTGGCTCTTGGATGCGACATGTTCGACTGCGTTTTCCCCACGAGGACAGCGGTGAGGCTTGGACAGTGGGTAGCTGGGGTAGGCCTGTTGATGGGCCAAGGTTGGGGTGGGGCCAGAAAAGGTGAAGACCTGGTGGTTGACTTGCCTTCCCCACCCCTTTCCTCCCTCAGCGCTTTGGCTCTGCCCTGGTGCCTACGGGGAACCTGCAGCTGAAGAAGAAGCAGTTCCAGAAGGACTTCCGCCCCATAGACCCTAAGTGTGCCTGTCCCACTTGCCAGAAGTAGGGAAGGATGGGGCTGGAGGGTGGGGGAAGGAGTGGAGGGGTGCAGGACCCTACACTGCTCAGCCTTGACTTCCTGTCCCCAGGCACAGCCGTGCCTTCCTGCATGCACTACTACACAGCGACAACACTGCAGCCCTGCACCACCTCACTGTTCACAACATCGCCTACCAGGTGGGCCCATGGTCTGGGTGGACAACTAGGGGTGGGAGTGGGGTCTCCTGGGTGCAGGTGGCTGACACTGACACTTCCACCCCATAGCTGCAGCTGATGGGCGCCCTGCGAGCCAGCATCATGGAGAAACGCTTTCCTGAGTTTGTGCGGGACTTCATGGACACCATGTATGGGGACCCCACCCTCTATCCCACCTGGGCCACTGAAGCTCTGGCCTCTGTGGGAATCTCATTGACTTGACCCAGCTTACGGGAGGGAGGGAGGGGATGGGAGATATTGAAGGGTTGGATTTTTTATTACAATTTAGAGTGTGTCTGTTCCTTCTTGGGGAGGTGGTTTGTCTTAGTCCCCTTCTTTGTCTGAGTGTCCCTGCGGTCAGTGTCCCTCATCTCACATTGATTGTAATAACTAGTAACCATAGCAGCAGCTGGTATCTGGAAACCACCTCTCAGCCCAGAATGTAGGAAGTACCCCAGAGGGGGAGCGGCATTCCTTTTCCTGTGGCCCAGGTCTCCTAACCCCTCGGGGGTCAGTCAGCACTCCTGTCCTCCCCCTTTTTATATGTCAGTAAACAGGCCCAGAGAGAGGAAGTAGCTAACCCAAGGTCACCACCGAGGAAGTAGTAGCCTGGATCCAGAGCTCATGCCTTTGGCCTTGACTCTTCAAACTTGGCATAGTCTTGCTGTCAGTAAGCACAATGATAATGATAATAGGTGTGATCTAGCAGATGCTTACACTGCACCCGGGCCTGTTCTAAATGGTTGTAATGTGCATTTAATTCTTACTACTTTATGATGCATGAATGGCAACTTTCCCCATTTTACAGACGAAGAAACTGAGTTTCAGGGGAATGAAGTCCCTTGGTCATTCAGCAAATAAACAGGCCCAGGATCTAACCCTGATATGGCCAATTACAGAGCTGGTGTTCTTAGAAGATAAGGGATTTTATTTTATTTTATTTAAAAAATTTTTTTAAATATATATTTTATTGAGTTTTTACAGAGAGGAAGGGAGAGAGAGAGTTAGAAACATCGATGAGAGAGAAACATCGATCAGCTGCCTCCTGCACATCTCCTACTGGGGATGTGCCCGCAACCCAGGTACATGCCCTTGACCGGAATCAAACCTGGGACCTTTTAGTCCGCAGGCGGAAGCTCTATCCACTGAACCAAACCGGTTTCGGCAAAGATAAGGGATTTTAAATGGAAAAAGTAATACATGTGTAGGACCACCATTCAAATAGCGTAAAAATTCAACTGATCAGTTTGTGTATTTTTTCAGAAACGTTCCATGTGTACATATTTTTCATGAATGTCGGTGTCCTTTACATGCAGTTTTGTACCTTGCTTTTTTCTCAGTATTTTTCAAATTATTTACATGTCAATACATGAGACTTCCTTATCTTTTTTTACAGCAGCCACATAGTATTTATTTAGCTCCAGGGAAACACCCTAACTGGGTGTTTCCAGGTTTCTCCTACTCTGGTCAAGGCAGAAACCTGTTCCTGACTCCTTACTGGGTTGCTTCAGCACTCTTTGGACTCCTCCGCAGTTTCTCTCTGGCCCATCTGTGCCCAGAGCAATCAAATTACTTCTTTTCTTAGCGTGTCTTTTTATGAGCAGAGGATCAGTTGAGTTTCACTAGGTACTCAAAAAGATCATGATATGCTAAATTTGAAGAGTCATGTAGTTAGCTCATCCAGACAGGACGTGGAGGGAAGGTATTCTTAGGGGAGGGCACAACATAGCAAAGGCATGGTGGTGTGACTGTATATAGGAATATGGGTGGGAAGCAATGCCGCTCCCTAGGAATCCTTAACATCACCTGACTCTCGCATTCAAAGCATACTGGAACCCGCGCGCAGAGAGCTGGTTTGCAAGCCCGGTACCGAGATGCATTCTGGGACTTGTAGTTTTCGTTACAGCCCAGAAACTCGTGATGATCACTACTGGGTCCCACTAAGACTCGGCGTGTGCCGTGGGTCTTACCCTCTGCTCGGGAAGACTCATAATAGACAATAATTATGAGTAAGAATGGGAGATTGACTGACAGATATAGTTCTCAATCAGAGTCAATTCGGAGATTATGGTATTTATATGAACCAACGGGAAATTTTTAGGGAACTAGGTAGAGTCAAATGACAAACCAGTGTCTTAAAAAAATCGATCTCTAACATCATTGGCTAGCGTTGTTGATTGGAGGGTCTCCCTGCCAATAAAACTGGCGATTTTCCTGCTGCCCGGGAACTCCTCTTAGTAGGCGGAGCCAACATGTCTTTTCCGAAACCACCTACCGGTTTTGACGTGTCGCTACCCGCTGGTATTGGCCCAAGCCTAACAGCGACAGTTCTTAACGTCCAATGAACCCGCGAGGAGGTCTCCAGGGGGACGGGTCCCTCCGCCTTAAGACCGTGCCTCATTTTTATTGACTGGTTTGCATGAGTGGCAGCGCAGTTAGCCAATCAGGGGTGGCGCGAAGGTTTTGGGGCCGGGCGGGAGGTCGCTCGGGTCGGGTGTCGCCTGAGAACCGGATGAAGTGGCGACCGTGAGGCCGAGCCGGGAGCGGGTGTCGCGCTGAGGCCCGGGCGGGCGGGGAGCAACGGCCGCGGACGCCGCGGGACCGCGTCGTTGAGGGACGGGGCAGCCGGGGAGCGCTGGGCGCTCGGGCCGGGGCCGCCGGCGCCATGGGCAATCGCGGGATGGAAGAGCTGATCCCGCTGGTCAACAAGCTGCAGGACGCCTTCAGCTCCATCGGTCAGAGTTGCCACCTGGACTTGCCTCAGATCGCCGTGGTGGGCGGCCAGAGCGCGGGCAAGAGCTCGGTGCTCGAGAACTTCGTGGGCCGGTGAGCGAACGCGGTGGCGACGGCCGGCGGGCGGTGGCCCAGGGCGCGGAGGGCGGACGGGGAATGGCGCGCCCTGCGCCTCCGGCGTAACTGCGGCGCTTGCGTGCCCGTGACGGGGTCAGGGGCAGGGAGGCGGGCCCTGTGGGACACTGTGAGCTGAGGGCGCCTTGCAGGGGCTGGGGGCCCAGCCCCGCCCCAAGGGGAGTCTTACAGGCAGGGAGGCGTGGGCCCGGATGTGCGGTGGACCCCCGTTGACTCTCTGGTCCCCAGGTTGAGTGGGTGAATTCTGCCATCTGGTTGCTAGTGGGGCAGGGGGAGGTCTCCCATCTCTGTCCGAAACGTGCCACCTCGATCTCTGCTGGGCCGACTCCTGTCGTCTGCTGGCTGTCCATTTATCTGGAGCAGTTACTGCCGTTTGGTTGGCTGATTCTATCCTGGATAGGCCTCCCTGCTACCACCATTTGGCTGTCCATCTGTCCAGTTCTGCAGGGCAGCTCCCTGCTGTCTAGCTAGCTGTCCAGGGTCACCTGTGCCGTCTGGCCGCCCATCCGTGCCCCTCACAGACTAACAGCCATTTCGCTGGTGGGTTACCCCAGCTGACCTCTGTGTCTGACTGGTTGTTTGGACTCTAGGGAACCCTGTTGTCTGGCTCTCGGACTGACTCTTCAGCTTGGTCCCTGGAAAACACTAGCTCCTCTCTTCCAAGTTCATCTTTTTGTCTTTCCTCCTAGTGACTAGTCTGCCCAAGTGCCCTAACAGCCCCTGAGTGTCCGGTTCAAGCTCTGTGGCAGAGGGTGATGGGAGCATAGGAAGAGCAGGTGGTGAAGTATGAGACTTGAACTGCTCTCTTCGCAGTTGGAAGTAGGACCCAGGGGAACTTTCTAAGGGATTCTTTCCTGGACCATGTCAGGATTTCCAGGGCCCTGGAAGACAGGGACCAGCCCCCAAGCTAAAGCCTGCCAATTTCGGGCTCTCTTGGAACCTGGGAAGGGACTTTTTTTTTCTTCTTTTCCGTTTTGTCACTAATCCTCATCAGAGGATATTTTTTCCATTGGTTTTTAGAGAGAAGGAAGGGAAGGAAGAGAGAGAAACACATTGATTGGTTGCCTCCTGAACCCTCCCCTACTGGGCCGAGGATCGAACCCACAACGCAGGTACATGCCCTTACCGGGAATCGAACCTGTGGCCCTTTGGTGTGCTGGCCGATGCTCCCACCATGGAGCCATACTGGCCAGGACAAAAGGTACTTCTTGTCTGATCAGGCCCTCATGGCAAGAGCTGGGATAGGGTCTTCCTTGGGTAGCCCTGAGAAGCATCAGTTTGCCCATCTGTCTAGTGGGCAAATTCTATTTCTGGGCTGTTTCAGGGATTCAGGAAGCTAATGAATGAGAAATGGTCCTGAGGTCATTAAAGGTGTTTGATTCTCCCCTCTCTTTCTTCTTTAGCCTCTTGCTTTTCTGCCTCCCAGATGGGCGGCCACATTTTCATTCCAGGAAGGACTCCATTTGTGACTGTGGTTGCCAAATGATATCATAGTTGTTATTATTGCTGTTATTATTGTTATCAGTGTTAGGAAGTAATGTTCATTCATTCAGCGGGTGCCAGGCTGACTTCTTTCTTGATTCAGCATCTTGATTCCCATGATGAGCAAGTAGAGTGGAGGTTCTCTTATCCCCACTTTAGAGATGAGCAGGGAGGCTCAGAAAGGACTTTGTTTGCTCAAGGCCACCAAGCTGGCGGGAGCCCAGCTGGGTGCCTGACTGCCCCTGGCTTCCCAGAAGCTTGGGGTTTTGCTCCTAGCATTTCCTCCTCCTTCTTCTTTTTTAAAATGTTTTTATTGGTGTGTTTGTTTTCTTTAGCAAGAGAGGAATGGGGCGGGATAGAGAGATAGAAACATCAATGATGAGAGAGAATCATTGATTGGCTGCTTCCTGCAAGCCCCACACTGGGGATCGAGCCCGCCACCCAGGCATGTGCCCTGACTGGAATCGAACCATGACCTCCTGGTTCATAGGTCCATGCTCAACCACTGAGCCACGCCAGACGGGTGAGGATATTTTTTCCATTGATTTTTATTTTATTTTATTTTATTATTTTTTAAAAAATATATTTTATTGATTTTTTACAGAGAGGAAGGGAGAGGGATAGAGAGTTAGAAACATCGATGAGAGAGAAACATCTATCAGCTGCCTCCTGCACACCCCCCACTGGGGATGTGCCCGCAACCAAGGTACATGCCCTTGACGGGAATCGAACCCGGGACCCTTGAGTCCGCAGGCCGATGCTCTATCCACTGAGCCAAACCAGTTAGGGCTTATTTTATTTTTTATAGAGAGAGTGGAAAGGAGGGAGGGGGAGAGAGAAATATGACCCTGAGAGAGACACATTCATCGGTCGCTTCCCACACATGCCCTGACTAGGGCTGGCGATCGAACCCGCAGCCCAGGCAAGAGGTCCC